TCTGGTCCCAAAGGCAGAGTCATTGGTCGTGCTGATCTGGTCCCAAAAGCAGCAGGTTCGACTAAGTCAAGTGTGAAAGGAGAGAGAGTTCAGGTCCTGAGGTCTTATATTCTGGCAAGGTTGTCAAGTTGGCTATATTTGTAACTGATTACATTTTAAGATTCACATCCTTTACTTCAATTCGTCCGTGGGCTCACTCCTCCTTATCTCAGTAATCTCATTTGGCATACGACGCTTAGATTTCTGCGCTCCTCCAATGCTGGCCACTTGATCATTCAAATTTTTAATTGTTCTACCTTTAGTCTATTTTTCGCTGTTTCAAAAATATGGCCAATAAGAAGATCAATCATGGCAGTCTGTATATCGAAACAAAGTTCATATTTATAAGTAATTATCGATAAATTGCATGGTTTATACGTTTCTGGATAGTTTTTTTTCTTTTCATTGTTTTCCCATTTTTAATTGTGCCTTCTGCACTTGAGGCTGTAAGTTCCTATGTTCCCTCCTTACAGCTCTTCACCTGATTTCCTTCCTTTAAAATTCTTCTTAAAACATATATCTTTGACAAAGCTTTCAGTCAACTATCCTAATATCCTCTTATGTGGTTCGATGCCAAATGTTGGTTTATAACGCTTTGTGCCAAGGCTCTATATAAGTGCAAATTGGTGTTGTAATAGATCCATTTTGAAACATCCCAGAAGAAATAAGTCATTAATGAATACAGTGCACTGTTAAAGTTACATTTTTGCTTCCTTATTCAATTAACATTGCTAAATTATGTTTTTGCATCTATTGCAAACAAAATACATTATGAAGATTCAGTATATGTGATCTATTTTTCCTATGCCAATCCAGATAATAAGCAGTAAGCAACAAAGTCAGAGAATGAATTATGGTCAGTGCTAAAAGTGGTTTATATGTAGAATCTCACTTCTATATATAACTTACTGATCATGTTGGTCCCAGGGGTCCTGTTATCATTGGTACAGGTGTGATCTTCACATTGTAGCTGCATTTCAATATGACCTTAGTCTATTTACAGCAACTGAGATCCAAGCAAGTTCTACAAGTGTCACCTCCTTTGCATCAGAACTGAGAGCTAGGAAGAGGAAGCTTCATGGTAATAAAAATACACTCCTTATTGGTATATAAAATTTTTCAGACATTAAATGTGCTGCAGCTCTAGCACTGATATAGCAGGGACTGCACACAGTAAGCTGTAGTTTCAGTGATTAATACACTTCCTCTGAATCAGAAAGTTGTGGGTTCAAATCCAGCTTCATGACTTGATCATGACAATCAAAGCCAGTGCTCCATTTCAGCACTGAGGGGATGTGGCATAGTTTCTAGTACGACCTTCTGGTGCAACGTTAAATCAAAGCCCAGCCGCCCTCTCACATAGCCATAAAAGATTGCATGGCACTTGCACAAAGAAGTGCAAGGGAGATACCCCTTGTGTCCTGGCCAATATTTATCCCTTAACCAA